TATAGACATATGACTAGCTTTAATTTAACATCAATTGACATCGTCCACAGGCGTCTGAGAACATTGTCACAGCCTATGCTGAGCTCAGAAATGCAAGCTCAAATGCAAAGGTTAGCATTGAGAGTTGAAATAGGTGCTCTGCATTCGAGCCATTATACAACATAGTTTCTTTTATTGATATAATACTGACTTTATGCAGACAGGAGGAACACTTCCCATAACTGCCAGAACCTTAGAAACCTTCATACGTCTCTCAACAGCTCATGCCAAACTAAAATTGAGCAGAAAGGTACTAGACTGACATCTACTTTTTCAGTGTTCTCTTCTCCGTCAAACAAGCACTTGGCATTCTCCTTAGCTGCGCACTTTTCTCTTTCTCCTATTGCTATTTTACTTATATATTCTACCTGGTGGTACTTCAGCCTATATTTTCACTGTTTTGTTCTCTATACTTTGTGATTGAACCGGCACTTCTCTTTTCAGGTTTCAAAGTCTGATGTTGAAGCTGCTTTAAAGGTTTTAAATTTTGCAATATATCACAAAGAACTTACAGAAATGGAGGAGCGAGAGCAAGAGAGGGAGAAAGAGCAAGACAGGAAGCGCAAGGCTGATCATAATGAAAATGATGGTCCTGATCGTGGTTCTAAAGATAGAAGAGGGTGAGCAATAATTTAAACAAGTTGGAAAAAATGAATATATTGCAAGCAACTTTTCATTCTAATTGCTACTATAATTAGATTCACGAAAATTCATTTATTACCGCAGAAGCGTTTTTCTTTGTAACCCTCGTAATTTAGCATCCTTGCACATTTGTAAGCATTAAGACTTCTACGTTGCCATGCGAATGCTGAGGGGGTCTATATTTGTCCATTATGAACTAATAACACTAGTAATTTCTTTTTGGCTAGATCAACATTAGGAACAGATGCCATTGAAGTAGATGATACCCCAGCAGCTGAAGCTAATGTTGGACTCACCCCTGCAAGGTCAGTCAACTTCCGATTCCTGCCTTTTAATTGTTTTCTTATGTTTGTGCTCCTACTGTTTCTGACGTAAAATATCTTATATTGACATGCAGAATTGAAGCATTTAATTCTCTATTTGGTCAGCATATGCGAGCCAACCGCCTGGATCTCATAGCTATTGCAGACTTAGAGAATGTTATCAACAGAGGGGCAGATTCACCTTACACCGCTGCAGATATACTATTCCTATTAGAGGTATGATCTTCTGATGAATTTCTGCTGCCATCTTCCCAACTCGAACTTCGTTACTATTTTTGTTTTCTGAAATTTCAGAGGTTGCAAGATGACAATAGAGTGATGATAGTTGATGGAATGGTGCATATGATATCATAAAATCTAAGATTGTGGCACAATCTCAACGAAGATTCAAAAAGGTATTCGATTTTACTAACTAATACATTATCATGAGTTGTCATTACTAAATATGATCGCATTGGTTTAATTTGACTTGGGTGTTTACACAATTTGCAATTGTAAAACAAATTTTTCATTAACTATGGATGAATATCAGGGCGCAGAATTTGCCGCTCGGGCAGGATGGATTTCACAACGGAGGGAGAGGCTTGAGAAGGATTTGGAAATTCCAGAGTTCATACCTTGCTATCTGGAGTTCTTCGCTAACACATCGACAAGGAAATAGCTTATGCGATTGCAACTGCATGTTATTCTTCACAGAACATTTAAATTAAGATAAACTTTGTTATCCCCTATTGAAAAAATTTTGCGTTTTGTTCATATAATTTGATAGTGGCCTTATCTTTATGTATTGCTACTCTGCTAACTGCAAAGTATTCGTGTAAAACAAGAATTTAGAAATGACTGGTTTCCATAGTTTTAAGTTCCTTCACTAGTGATACTTATTATTATTGGCACCAAATAGGACGTGGCTGGCAAAGTTTAATGTTCAGTAAAATTAACNCCAAGAACAGTGGATGTCATTGTAGAAGATGACCTTGTTGATTCTTGCAAGCCTGGAGATCGAGTGGCAATTGTGGGAGTATATAAGGCTCTTGCAGGGAAAAGTAAAGGCAGTGTGAATGGAGTATTCAGGTAGATCTAGTATATACTGACAGTTCCTTTGCACTCCTGTGCTTTAATAAACAGAAAATTGATTGATTGATGTTCGTGCAGGACTGTGCTCATAGCCAACAATGTTTCTCTTCTCAATAAAGAGGCTAATGCACCAATCTACAGCCCCGAAGATCTCAAAAACATTAAAAAGATAGCTGAAAGAGATGATGCATTTGACCTTCTAAGTAATTCGCTTGCACCTTCTATATATGGGCATTCTTGGATAAAAAAAGCAGTGATTTTGTTGATGCTTAGTGGAGTTGAGAAGAACTTAAAGAATGGCACTCACTTGCGAGGGTTCGTGTTTTTTGCTTGATCTCCCTTCTCTTTTAACTAAATATAAAATTATAACGCCGGTCTGTCTTGCTTCTTTAGTGACATTAACATGATGATGGTTGGTGACCCCTCCGTTGCCAAGTCTCAACTCTTGAGAGCAATTATGAACATTGCTCCCTTGGCCATATCAACTACAGGCAGGGGTTCTTCTGGGGTTGGTTTGACAGCCGCTGTTACTTCAGATCAAGAAACAGGTAAAAAGATCATTGTCATGGGCTCTATGCATAGTACTATTATTATACTTGTCATCTAAGGATGATTCTTACTTCTTTCTCAGGGGAAAGAAGGCTAGAAGCTGGGGCAATGGTTCTTGCCGACAGAGGTGTTGTCTGCATTGATGAATTTGACAAGATGAATGATGAAGATCGTGTTGCTATACATGAAGTTATGGAGCAGCAGACTGTGACTATTGCTAAAGCTGGTATCCATGCATCACTAAATGCCCGATGCAGTGTGGTTGCCGCTGCAAATCCCATATATGGAACTGTAAGTGGTGTTATGCGGTAATTGGCTGTGCAGTTTAAACTATCCAATTTCCTGATACTGTATTGAACCTTCAATTTCTTTTCTAACTTGTGACTTTTTATGTGCAATTATACAGTATGATCGTTCATTGACTCCAACTAAAAATATTGGACTTCCAGACTCCTTGCTTTCTCGATTTGATCTACTGTTTATTGTGTTAGATCAAATGGATCCTGACATTGATCGTCGAATTTCTGAGCATGTACTTCGTATGCATAGATTTCGTTCTGCTGTTGATGGAGGTAAATAAGCAGTTTTCCAATGCTTTGAGACGTTCTTATACTAGTTAGTTGTTTTATTGAAAGTAGATTAACAATATAGGCGAGGCAACACTTAATGGGAGCTCAGGATATGGAAGAGAAGATGAAGCTGATACGGACTCGTCGATCTTTGTCAAATATAACAGAATGTTACATGGGAAGAAAACTGAAAGAGGTCGCAAACGTGATACTCTTACAATTAAGTTTCTTAAGAAATATATCCACTACGCTAAGCATAGGATTCAACCTGAACTGACTGATGAGGTTACGTTCCTTTCTTATTTTCCTTTCTTATTAATATATCAATTTCATCTTTCTTGATGTATGATGAATTCTCTTAGAAGTTTATATTTATCCATGAATTCTCTTTACAATTGCCATACTTGAATGGTTCTGATTATTTTTTATGGTTGCTATGCTTCTGTTCGCGTCCATTATTGTATAGACATATGACTAGCTTTAATTTAACATCAATTGACATCGTCCACAGGCGTCTGAGAACATTGTCACAGCCTATGCTGAGCTCAGAAATGCAAGCTCAAATGCAAAGGTTAGCATTGAGAGTTGAAATAGGTGCTCTGCATTCGAGCCATTATACAACATAGTTTCTTTTATTGATATAATACTGACTTTATGCAGACAGGAGGAACACTTCCCATAACTGCCAGAACCTTAGAAACCGTCATACGTCTCTCAACAGCTCATGCCAAACTAAAATTGAGCAGAAAGGTACTAGACTGACATCTACTTTTTCAGTGTTCTCTTCTCCGTCAAACAAGCACTTGGCATTCTCCTTAGCTGCGCACTTTTCTCTTTCTCCTATTGCTATTTTACTGATATATTCTACCTGGTGGTACTTCAGCCTATATTTTCACTGTTTTGTTCTCTATACTTTGTGATTGAACCGGCACTTCTCTTTTCAGGTTTCAAAGTCTGATGTTGAAGCTGCTTTAAAGGTTTTAAATTTTGCAATATATCACAAAGAACTTACAGAAATGGAGGAGCGAGAGCAAGAGAGGGAGAAAGAGCAAGACAGGAAGCGCAAGGCTGATCATAATGAAAATGATGGTCCTGATCGTGGTTCTAAAGATAGAAGAGGGTGAGCAATAATTTAAACAAGTTGGAAAAAATGAATATATTGCAAGCAACTTTTCATTCTAATTGCTACTATAATTAGATACACGAAAATTCATTTATTACCGCAGAAGCGTTTTTCTTTGTAACCCTCGTAATTTAGCATCCTTGCACATTTGTAAGCATTAAGACTTCTACGTTGCCATGCGAATGCTGAGGGGGTCTATATTTGTCCATTATGAACTAATAACACTAGTAATTTCTTTTTGGCTAGATCAACATTAGGAACAGATGCCATTGAAGTAGATGATACCCCAGCAGCTGAAGCTAATGTTGGACTCACCCCTGCAAGGTCAGTCAACTTCCGATTCCTGCCTTTTAATTGTTTTCTTATGTTTGTGCTCCTACTGTTTCTGACGTAAAATATCTTATATTGACATGCAGAATTGAAGCATTTAATTCTCTATTTGGTCAGCATATGCGAGCCAACCGCCTGGATCTCATAGCTATTGCAGACTTAGAGAATGTTATCAACAGAGGGGCAGATTCACCTTACACCGCTGCAGATATACTATTCCTATTAGAGGTATGATCTTCTGATGAATTTCTGCTGCCAACTTCCCAACTCGAACTTCGTTACTATTTTTGTTTTCTGAAATTTCAGAGGTTGCAAGATGACAATAGAGTGATGATAGTTGATGGAATGGTGCATATGATATCATAAAATCTAAGATTGTGGCACAATCTCAACGAAGATTCAAAAAGGTATTCGATTTTACGAACTAATACATTATCATGAGTTGTCATTACTAAATATGATCGCATTGGTTTAATTTGACTTGGGTGTTTACACAATTTGCAATTGTAAAACAAATTTTTCATTAACTATGGATGAATATCAGGGCGCAGAATTTGCCGCTCGGGCAGGATGGATTTCACAACGGAGGGAGAGGCTTGAGAAGGATTTGGAAATTCCAGAGTTCATACCTTGCTATCTGGAGTTCTTCGCTAACACATCGACAAGGAAATAGCTTATGCGATTGCAACTGCATGTTATTCTTCACAGAACATTTAAATTAAGATAAACTTTGTTATCCCCTATTGAAAAAATTTTGCGTTTTGTTCATATAATTTGATAGTGGCCTTATCTTTATGTATTGCTACTCTGCTAACTGCAAAGTATTCGTGTAAAACAAGAATTTAGAAATGACTGGTTTCCATAGTTTTAAGTTCCTTCACTAGTGATACTTATTATTATTGGCACCAAATAGGACGTGGCTGGCAAAGTTTAATGTTCAGTAAAATTAACAGAAAATGAAAAAGAAAAGCTTGGAGCTTGTGACGCCAGTTGAATTCAATTATAAACTAGTGATTTTGAACATCAAAATGGCCACCCTTTCAAACCTTTGTGCTCTATAAATTGGGGGAGGATCCAAACATTATTTTATGCAGCACCTAATTAAACAAGCAAAACCTCTGGTGCGATCAAAGTCAAAGCAGTAGTAGCATTACGTATACGAGGTGATGTATAAGTAACAATCATTTTAGCGCACCTAATAATATTAATGTATAAATGTTGCATCACATGCTGAGTGTTTCTATGATCCAAAACACCTTTGAGATCACCTATTTCCGATATATGGTTGGAAGATAGTGTAGTAATTGAAGAGGATATTGGCCTCAGGACAATTACAATTATCTTGGTTACCTGGCTATACATAATTTAGCAATTATTTGGCTATGCCCAGATGAACACATGTCCCTAAATTCGTAACGAATACACGAACAATATGATTGTCAACAATCATGGCTGCAGAATGAATCATTCTCTGCTACGATCGGAAGAAATGCTGTTCATTAAGCATTTTTCAAGAGGTTCATGATCCACAATAAGTTGGGCTCATAAATCTTTATTTCATAACTAATTTTTAGCAAATTTTGATAGTTTTTTCTTTTTTTAAGTATTGGCAGTAAGCAGCCCAATGAATGATATAGTATTTTGAAACCCGAATTTCATTTTTCATTTTTGGTGCACCAAATTTCAAAATAGTGACCAATTTTAAATCAGAATTTTGAAATCTGATGAACTAAATAAAAATAAATAAAACTTGAAATCCAACAACTAACTGGATTTTAAATCCGATAAGCAATTCTGAAAACTGAATTTGAAAATCTGATAGGATAAAAATAAAACACAATTCATCAACTAACCAAATTCTAAAATCTGATTAACAAGATCTGGATACAAAACTAAATTTTAAAATGCATGAAAAATTTTAAAAATCAGATTTTAAAATCTAGTAGGTTAAAAATAAAACATGAAATCCAACTAAGCGAATTCTGAAATCCAATTAACAAGATCCAGAAAAGGAATCAGATTTTAAAATCTGGTGAGCAATTTAAAAACCAAATTTCAAATCCAATGAACTAAAAATAAAACACGAAATCTATAGCATGACCTACACGCTGAAAAACTCCATACAATTTAAACTACTTTAAGATGAAAATCATGCATGTATTTCAAACGAAGATCTGCCCTTCTTCTACTACTCTCATCTCAAACAAGCTTGCTTGGGTAGAAATGGTCAAGGCACAAACTCAAGCAACCACAAACTCTGGTGAAAAAGACAACTCCGTTTGGTGAAGAAGAAAGAAGTTACTTGAGGGCCCAGTGAAAGGAATAAATTTCGTTAGAGGGTGGCCAGTGTACTAAATAAAGCTATGCGGAGTGGGTAACAGTGAATATCTTTACCTAATTATTTAATATATAATATATAATGTATAAAGTTAAAATGGGGATGACATTAAAATTTTGGGATGCAAGAAATATGAACAACACAAACACTTACGTTATCCTTATAGGACTATTAACATGGCTCCTTCTTCCTTTCCTTTAAAAAATTGAAATTTCATTGCATCAATTGCAATATTTCGTCGCGTCAGGGTTGGCACTTAATACACTGATTGACTGAATCATTGTCGAGTGCGTGGTTAGGAACCACCGAAATGCTAATCTTAAAGAAAGTAATAAATTTGGTTGCCATACTTATTAGAAATGGAAGAGAAATATTTCCTAGTATTACCATCACACCTCATTCGCCTCAATCCTGCTGCTAACCATGGATCATCTTAATCCCTGAAACTGATAATTCTGGGAAGTGAGGGTTGCTGAAGAGAACATGTAAGGAGGAAACCATAGAGGCAGCGATGTCTGTAACATTATGTCCTAAGACCAATAGTTTATTTATCAAATTCCCATATAACCCCGCCATCTTCTGCAATACCAAAACAAAACCATTACAACAAAGTCTAATTCAAAAGTTTAACAAATATGAGTAATGCACCAATGTTCATACAAATACTTTGTCATTGACAACGATTGTTATCCTCTGACAGTATATATATATACATGACATAGTCAGAAACTCAAACCAAGCTTGCTGAAGATCCATTGAACTTCACAAAATACATAATTGTGTACATTGATAGCTTGGCAATCGAAAACTGTTTATACAACTTCTTTAGATAAATTCTTCTACAAACACTTATAGGAGAAAAAAAGTATAAAGAATTGAACTTTTCCAGTAAGTTTAAATTAACTTATAGACTTTAAATTTTTTAAAAGTACATTAATCTAGCTTCTCAAAAACTTGAGGGATAAGCTCAATTCATTTTATGTTCTGATTTTCTTCATTACTACTTTTATATCTAAATATGGTCAGTCTAAAAAAAAGGTAAGAGCACAGCCCTGTCTAACAGCAGTGGTGTTTCTAGGTGCTACATGCCATTCCATGGGTTCCAAAAAATCGATGATTGGGGACAAAAATTTAAGACGAAACTAGCTCCCATGAAAATAGTTCTCACTGAACAATGCCCTTTATGAGAATCAGAAATGGTTTCCAAAAAAGAAAGGCTTTCAATTTGGCAATTCAAAGGACTAAAATAACACATTGGTTGATGAAAGGAAAGAGAGGGATGAGGTGAAAATACCTTTAACTTTCTTTTCAATCCAGGCCTCACCAACCATTCCAGCAGCCACACCAGCACCAATGCATGCACTGCAAAATAAAATGGCTTTGGGAAGTGGCCATCGAGGAAGGAAATAGAACTCAGGAATTTGCCTTAGTCTGTTGGGTAATCGTTTCTTCAAGGATGGTTGAACACTCGGATTTTTCTGCATTTCACCGCCAACAGCTTTCCAATCCACCCCTTTAAATGGATCTTTTGCATCTTTATTTTCCATAACGCCTCAATTCCAAAACTTTAAATCCAAAAATTATGCTGGTGATGAACAAAAAAAAACCTAGAATTAACAACATAATAAACCCAAGCAAAAATAAAATAAAATCCATCGGTTTTTGAAACAGAATAAAAGATGAAGAAATAATTACGAGTAGAGAATCAAAGGAGATAGAGTGAAATAGCAAAACTCTTGCAAGAAACAACAATGTTCCTGTGTAGTTTCATAATGCTATTGCCAACCACATAGTCACGCCATTAAAAGCTTTTCTCCAAGAATTTTGAAAATTATAAATTTAGCCAAACTGTCTTAGTATTTTATCGATTTCCTTTCTGAGGATTTAGATGCAGGTAATCAAAATCTTGAGTCAACTTGTAAACTCCTAGAATAGTTTGTAAAGCAGAACGCACCTGGGTAAAAAAATCCTGAGTTGTGCAGAACAGCCTTTGCTATCTCACTGTTCTCTCCCCTCTCTTTTTCTCTTCTTTTCTGTCTATTCACAAATTGGTTGTGCTGGTTAGATTTAGGGTTTTGGAGGGTTTTTTCTCCTCTTCTCCTATGTGGATAATTGGGTTTTCAGTGAAGTACAACAGCAATTTTTTTTTATGTAAAATATACTAAATAAATAAATAAAATATACTGAAAAATAATGATAAAAAATTCTAGGTTTAATATCTATTTTGATCCCTCAATTGCTAGGGTATGTTCAAAGTTGTCATCCTTTTTTTTAAAGTTCATTAATATCTTACTTTTTCGTAAAAACAGTTTAAGTGGATCCTTTTTCCTTATTGCGTTAAAAAACTAATGACAAAGTTGTTCTGCTGGCCAAAATTAGATGACATGTCCAATTAATCCAATTAGTTGGCAAGTTCAGCCAATAAGAGAGTGTCATGTGGTCGTCCTCTTTTCACTCAAAAGTTTTATCACACTTCTTCATCTTCATCATTAACCAATTATACTGTAATTCAGTTGCCAAGAAACAAAAAAATCAAAGTGAGGGAGAAAAACCTTCAGAGGGTGAAGACCAGCTTTGAGTTCATGAGATTGTTGTTCTTCGGTTTCTTTGCTGCTCGAATCAAGTGTCGACGTTAACTGAGAAGAAGAATCTAATGTTTGATGAACGTTTTCGGGATTATTGGCGCTGTTGTTCTCTGATTCCTTCTTCTCCACTGTGAAATCCATAATCGCGCGCTAAACCCTAATCCCCTTTTCCCCTCTTCCCAAACCCTAATCCCTAATTGCACATTGCTTCAGACGTACTTTTATTTATGTTTATATTCAATTTTGTTTTACTGGGATAAAAAACCTCACTATCTTCCAATCTTAGTGTTTTTCATCATTTCATCCACCCGTTGCCGTAACCAAGATCGTCGTCGCCCCGTACGCCTCCGCTCTCTCCGCTACTACCGCGCCCCATCTCCCCCCGCCCTTCCCGCACTCAAAACAAACAAACAGTTTAGACAATCAGTGCAGGAGGGGAGACAAATCCCTCCGGGGGCTCCGGTGGGTTGAAGTCAATGTCTTCTAATGGGTTGACGTTGTCGAAGAAGAAGGTGTCGATGTCATAGGAGGGTTTGCATTTGGCGTAGAGGATGGAGGGTGGTGTTAGGGTTTGGCGAAGAGAGGGAGAAGCGGCGAAGGGAGGAGAGAGAAGCGAAAGAGGGAAAAACCGAGAATGCCACGTAATACTAAACTATACAGCTAATTCAGGTTTTCGCCAGATAAGAAACTCTACCTTTAATCTTTCTAACGCCGTAAGCAATGACTAACGTCCACCGTTTTTGCGAAAAGTAGATGTTAGTGAACTTTTGAAAAAAAAGGAAGACAACTTTAAACAAACCCTACAAATCGAAGAACCAAATCAAAATTCTACTGTTGCTTTCAGTTTATTCATTTATATCATTATTTGTAGAAACAAATGTGCATAATCTATGGACAGTCTTTTTTTATAATAACAAAAATTAATAAATTAAAATTATAAAATAATATAAAT